TTTTTTTAAGAGTTCATGATTTGCCTGGTTAGGGGCTTTAACTCACTGTTGATATTTTTTGGTTAGTGGTGGTCGTCCCCACCCTCCATTCTTGTGGCTTTGGAAGCCAGTCTCTAGAAAATAGAAGGTTCTGGTTGTTGACAGGACATAGGACATCAGCTGTGAGCTGCTCCTTTTTCTAGGGCACTGGTGAAAGTTGTTGTCTTAGTCTGTTTGGGCTGCTATACAAAATTACAACAGACTGGGTGGCTTATAAACAAGGAAATTTATTTCTCACAGTTCTGGAGGCTGGAAGTCCAGGATCAGGGGGCCAGCATGGTTGGGTTCTGGTGGAAGCCCTCTTCCGGGTTGCAGATTGCCAACTTCTTGCTGTGTCCTCACATGATGAAAGGGGCAAGGGCGCTCTGGGATTCTCTGTTAAAAGGGCACTAATTCCAGTCATGAGAGCTCTGCCCTTATGGCCTCACCTCCCAAAGGTTCCACCTCCAAATACCATCACAGTGGGGATTAGGATTTCAGCATAGGCATTTGGGAGAGGGACAAAAATATTCAGACTAGAGCTGTTGTCCTACTCAGCATTCTCTCCAGATGAGGGGCACTGAGGAATGGGGTTCAGGGAAACTGGAAGCAAAAGCAATATGTGAATAAATAGTGTTTGAACGTTTACTCGAGGACGCCACTTCATAGGGACTTCCCCGCCGCGAACATTTATTTATCGAGAGCTTGCTCTGAGCCAGGCAGGCCCTTTGCTGAGAGTCTTCGGTGCATCCTTTACCCAGCAGCCCTGGGAGATGGGTGATGCTAATCTCTCTATTTTACACGGGAGGAGATGGGTTTAGTGACACAACACAGAGTCACCCTAGGAAGTGGTGGCTCCAGGACTTGAACTGAAGTTTGACTCCAGCACTCGTGCTCTTCACCTCTGTGTAGAAGGAACCTAAGAGGTCCTGTCTGGGGTGGCGAGGTGTCTCCTTCACTGGGCTATGGCTCTGTTAGGGGATCCAAACTGTCTGGCAGATGGATGTGTATTGAAGCCTTCAGCTGTCCTGTTCACTTGCCAGACCTAACCGGGCTGTACCTACATCGCAGGCTCGGTTCACCACATTTATGAACACCCACTGTGTGTCAGGTTTGATGTTATGTGCTGTTAAAGGGAAACCCATAGTCTGCCTTTGCGAATTTTGTAGCATGATCGTTTCATCTGCAACATGCCCTTAGCTTCTCTCACTTTCTCACTCCCAACCCTCAAGCCCCCAAGTTGTCCAACCTCTTGCCACCCGCAACAGTCATGAAAATTTGGGGCTGTGAAGTAGAAGTGTGATTCATTCATCGAAACCGGTTGAGACCCATTCATTGCCTGATTTCTTCACTTCACCCTTCTACATTTTGTTCGACAAAAATTTAAGAAAGAGGCCTTCCCCGGTGGCGCAGTGGTTGAGAGTCCCGCCTGCCAATGCAGGGGACACGGGTTCGTGCCCCAGTCCGGGAGGATCCCACGTGCCGCGGAGCGGATGGGCCCGTGAGCCACGGCTGCTGAGCCTGCGCGTCTGGAGCCTGTGCTCCGCAACGGGAGAGGCCACAACAGTGAGAGGCCCTTGTAACAAAAAAAAAAAAAAACAAAGAAAAAAATTTAAGAAATAAAAAATCAGCCTAAAATATTGTCCTTTGGCACCAGGGCTCCTGAGAGCAGCCATCATCCCTCAGATCCCACAGCAGGAACTTTGACCTTGTTTCTCGTTGGTTGGGCAGCCTCTGACCATAGCGTGTGTGGTGTCTGAGCAGGAGGAATTTGGTTTTGCCAGATCTGATACCTGACTCTCTTTTCCCCTGCTTGCCTCTGAAGCATGACCTCTGCCCTCTGCTCTCTGTTTAGGAGCTGAGGGCAAAACAAAGAGGGTGGTAACTTAAACTGACTTTCTGTTTTTTTGTAAAGACAGGAAGGGTTTGTGAGAGGTGTCGGTTGTTGGCATGAGTAGCTCGATCAACAGGTGTTGCTGATGATCCTGACTTTCAGCAGAGGTTCTTGGAGTCTTTCTGGGCCTGGGGCAGCAGCTGTTCAGGCAGGTACTCCTGGCCCCTGCAGAGACCTTCCCAAGACAAAGGGATCAATGGGCCCTGTATTGTTGAGATCCCAGTTAGCACCGTCTGGGGAAATAGTAACTGCATGAGCATAAACCGCTCAAACACAGAGTAATGGTGAGGCTTGTGGGTCAGCTGGTCTCCTACAGCTGTCCTGACTGGCTTCCGCATGACCTGTGCTCCATCCTGGGGCCGTGGCAGGTATATGTTGTGGCCAGGGAAGAAGCTGAGCCTTGTCCAGCTATCTTTGTGTTCTACCTGGCACCAGCAGGTGAAGAGCTGGGGCGGTGGAGGGGAGGTGAGCCACCACACAGCCTTGGTCCCATTCCCCACGCACCCCGTACCCCGTACCCTGTAGCTGGATGCGTGTGTGGGTTTGTGCCACCGAAAGTGCCAAACTTCAAATTGGGCTTTCGCTTGAGGCTTCTTAGAGAGCTGCCCTGCATGGGCCTGGAGAGTCTGCCACAGCCTTGCTGGCTGGGGTGTGCTGAGACGGAGGCCAGGCCCTCTTAGGGAGATAGTCTCTTAGGAGTAGCACTCGTGGGGCCGCGAGACCCCCGGTGCCTCTTCGAATCAGTAGGCAGCACGAGCCTTGCCTGGTGCAGCTGTAGGCAGACGGCTGTCTGGCTGGCTTTCCCCATGACCCCACCACCCAAGCGCCTGGCTCCTCTGTGGCCAGCAGGGACGGTGAATGAGAACCCTAGAGCTGCCCCTGAATCCCGGGGCCCTTCCACAGATGGTATGGGTAGCCACAACAGCCAGGCTGTGTCAGCAGATCCCTGTAGATAAGCCCCTGCCCCCACCAGCAGCCTTCCTCCCCATGGGCACAGGAAGAGAGGGACTGGAGGTTTTCATCCTGGGCCTGAAAGTTAGTGCTGACTCTGCTTCTCCTCCTCTCCAGGGAGCCTGTCTGTGGTTGAGAGCTGAGAAAGCAGCTTGGAGATCGGAGAAGGATTTCTTGGTGCTCTTGCTGGGGCAGGGCCATGGGAGGCTGGGGGTCTGTCCTCAAGAGTGGCTTCCACCCAACTCGGCCTGGCATCTATGCTGAGCGACACAGCCGGTCTTCCCGACAAGGGAGAGGGCTGCAGGGGCAGCTGTGCTCTGGCTGGCTGCTCCTGGCACAGTTCCAGGTTCAGCCCGGACACCGGGCAAGGACCACTCGGTCATGCGTATCCAGGGTTTAAGCCTCTTGGTGCCCCTGCACACTGGCCCCTTTTGCAGGTGTTGGTGGAGTTCATGGACTCCATGCTCACAGGCGTCACTGTGGTGCAGGAGTCTAGGCACTCAGCCCCAGTAGTCTTACTGTTGAAAGGGGAGTGAAGTGAAACTGCTCCCAGTTAAGGGAGTTGGGCGGGCTGGGGCAGATTTCAGGGCGTGCCCCAGCGGTAGGGGGCCCCCTCTCACTCTCAGTCCCCCTCTGGGATGATTTCCCTCCCTTCCCCCTGGAAAGGGAGTTGTCTTGCTGTGGCTCTGTAAAGGCAGCATGCATACCCTTCCTCTCCTGCTGCCATCTCCCCTAAGCCCCCTACTTACTGGTGGGAAGAGGCTACAGCCCTGGCCTGACACACCCTGTCAGCATCTCCCCGAATCTCAACCTGCACCGTTAAGCTTCTGGCTTCCAGGGCCCAGCTTCTTCTGTGACACGCTCCAGGTGAGAGACAGGCTCTCTGTGTGGCAATTCCATAGCCCTGGTCACACAGGGAAGACACCCCTCTCTTTGATTCCACCCCTAAACCCCTTTTCCCTCTGCAGATATGCTCTGGACTGGTTGGGGAGTGCAGAGCATCACACCATCATAACCTCTTTCTCCCTGCTGAAAAGACAAGCGTCAGCTTCTCTTTTTACTATTGTGAAGCTTTAAACAACTTTAAAATTCTTTAGCTCACAGTTAAGTACAAACAATAAATATATTCTTAATATGTATGCAGCAGGCACATTTGTTTATGGTGAATCCTGCTGTCTTGCCCCTTATTTGTTTGGGTATCTTTGTTCTCTTTTGGCCCTCTTCTAATTCAGACAGCATCTTTTTCATAGTCTTTTTTTTTTTTTTTAATTTATTTATGACTGCTTGGGGTCTTCGTTGCTGCGCGTGGGCTTTCTCTAGTTGCGGCGAGCAGGGGCTACTCTTTGTTGCGGTGCACGGGCTTCTCATTGCAGTGGCTTCTCTTGTTGCAGAGCACGGGCTCCAGGCGCGAGGGCTTCAGTAGTTGCGGCACACGGGCTCAGTAGTTGTGGCTCGCAGGCTCTAGAGCGCAGGCTTAAGTAGTTGTGGCGCACTGGCTTAGTCGCTCCGCGGCATGTGGGATCTTCCTGGACCAGGGCTCGAACCCGTGTCTCCTGCGTTGGCAGGTGGATTCTTGACCACTGCGCCACCAGGGAAACCCCTTTTTCATAGTCTTTACTCTGAATTTTTTTATACTAAGACAGAAAATATTTTATGTACAGGGGAGCTAGATTGGTATCATATTTCTAAGCTTTAATTTTCCATTGCTGTATGCAAAATTCTATACCAGCAGCATTTTTAACGTTTTTATTGACATGTAACTTACATACAGTGAAGCTTACAAATCTTTTTTTTTTTTAATAAATGTATTTATTTATTTTTGGCTGCGTTGGGTCTTTGTTGCTGCGTGCAGGCTTTCTCTAGTTGTGGTGAGCAGGGGCTACTCTTCCTTGCGGTGTGCGGGCTTCTCACTGCAGTGGCTTCTCTTGTTGTATAGCACGGACTCTAGGCGTGCACGGGCTTCAGTAGTTGTGGCTCGCAGGCTCTAGAGTGCAGCCTCTGTAGTTGTGGCTCACGGGCTTAGTTGCCCGCGGCATGTGGGATCTTCCCAGACCAGGGCTCGAACCCGTGTCCCCTGCATTGGCAGGTGGATTCTTAACCACTGTGCCACCAGGGAAGTCCCGAAGCTTACAAATCTTAAGTGCATTTTTACATTTGTAGACGTCCATGTATTTACTTCCCAAATCAAGATATAGAACTTTTCCATCCAGCAGCGTGTTTTTTAAATTTGATACAAACTCCTTTTCCCATAGTTAAAAGCCATATTTTATTAAAGCATAGACAGAAGGTGGTGGCCCCATTATTCTTAGTGGATGTGATGACGTTATTAATATTCTTGGGTTGGAGCCTTTCTGGAGTTATGAGTCCTGGGCTCGGGCTCTGCCACCACCTGGCTGTGACCCTGGGCAGGTCACCTTGCCTCACCTCCATCTCCTTCTCTGGTAATTATGAAGAGGAGTTTTGAGCTTTGACAACCAGTGAGTCAAAGCTACTTAGTTAGGCTCTTAGTAGTATAACAACCCTGCCGTTCGTTAGAACCTCACCTTCAGGAGGGTACTGTACCATGCACACCATGTGTTGTTTCATTTAACAACTCTGTGTGACTGGCATTAAGTAATACCATTTTATAGATAAGGGACTGAAGCTGACAGCCGTCACTCATCTGCCTTGGCCAAGGTCACTCAACTAATAAATGGTGGAGCCAGGCTTTAACCAAACCCAGTTCAGCCTCCCACGTCCTGACTGCTAGTTGTGCTAGGAAGGAGCGTGGGGACCTCATGGGGCTCTTGGCTTGTGTTGCGTCAGATTCTTCTTTCCTCTGTCTCTGCAACCAGCTCGAGGCCTGCGTAGTCCTGCTGTGAGTCTGCCCTGTGGTCCTGGGTGCCAGTAGTGGTGGTTTTCCCTTTGAGGATGAGCTGTGTTCTTGAGTCTACGGGTAAATCATCTCCCCTGCTGTTCTGAGCGTTTTAATGTCTTCTACCTTAGCTTTTGAACCTAATTACCTCTCCCGTGTCCCCTGATTTTTTCATTTATTCTCTTTAAGGTGACAGGTTGCTTCTGATGTCCTCTTGCCCAACTCTCAAGGTGTTAAATATTCAGGAATGCTTTTATCCAGAGTAAAGTGTAGCTGAAGAGTCACCGGCCAGAACCGCCTCCAGGGGCCCTGGGCGGGCTAGCTGGGTTCTCTGCACCACGCCCTCCCCACTCCTCTCCCTGTCCTGGTCCCAGGGGGCCCCAGGCTAACCTTGAGTGAGCAAGTCTAGAGCAGACCAGCCTCTGGCCAAAACAAAATCTGGTTGGTTTCCTTAATCTGCTCACTATCCGAGCTGTGCCGGGACTCTCAGCTAGAGGAAGTCTCCGAAGCAAACAGGAAGCAGGAGAGAGACACCCACCAGCTGGAATTGCTCACTCTTTACCAGAAGGACAAAGAGTATGAAGTGGGTGACTTCATGGATTAGAGAAGAGAAAGGTGAACATTTCGAGTGGAGGCTGGGGGGAGGGGCAACATTCCAGCAGGATCTCGCATCTTGGAGAAGGCTTCAGGTGTTGAATAAAGCCAGGAACCAGTCTCCACCGCCAGCCTGATCCACCTGTATTGTCCACGGTACCCATCTGGGGGGCGCCTTTCTCACATTCCTCCCTCCTTCCTGTGTCAGCTGCAGCTCTTGGGCTTAAATCAGCCTCCTAGAATCACTTGGGGATTATTTTGTTTTATTATTTTATTTTTTTGGCCACGCCGCATGGCTTGTGGGATCTTAGTTCCCTGACCAGGGATTGGACCCGGGCCCCCAGCAGTGAAAGCACCCAGTCCTAACCACTGGACCACCAGGGAATTCCTGGGGAACTTGTTTTAAAAATGTTGATTTCTGGACTGCACCTCTAGAGATTCTAGATTCAGTTGGTCAGGCTTATTTTCTAAACGCCCCGGGTGATTCTGATGAAGAAAAGTTTTGAGACCCACTGACCTACAGTGTCCAGAGCAAGGAAGAGCAGCGTCCTGCTCTTCTTTCCTCTTTCTCTCCCCGCTTGGCCCCAGGATGGGCTGGGTGTGTGCCCATTATGCCTGTTCACGGGCCAGAGTGTTTAGGAGCTCCGATCCCTTCTGCCCTTTCATGTGCCCCATGGGGAAAGGTGTAGGATGCCCCCGTCCTCGAATTCTCTCCCGTTTCCCGTGAAGACGTGAGGTTGGGAGTGGTGCTTGTTCTCGTGGCCTCTGAAGAAACCAGGTTTCTGATTTGGAGCGTGGCGGAGGGGGTTACGGCAAGGAGGGGCCCTCGAGGTGCTGCTCTACCCATTTCAGCAGCTTCATGAAAATATCCAGGAGGAAATTCATCCCACTTGTGTGTTTTTCCTGGTGCTGGAGAAACTGGTTTTTAAAAATATATATATTTTTTTGGCCTATTCTGTATCTTATAAGGAACTTTGACCACAGCTTTAGCTCTTAAAGGGAATTGGATTTTGGTCTGAAAGAAGGCTTTTACTGGGGACTTCCCTGGCGGTCCAGTGGTTAAGGCTCCGTGCTCCCAATGCAGGGGGCACAGGTTCGATCCCTGGTCGGGGAACAAAGATCCCTACAACCCACGTGGTATGGCCAAAAAAAAAAAAAAAAAAAATTACTAAAAAACCAGAAGACTTTTACTGTGCCATTTTGGGTTATAATTCCATCATTTGACTGTGCCTGTGGGTAATTCTAGCTGCTGGTTCAGGAGGAAAGATTCCCACAGTGGGCTTGCCTCCCCCAGACAGCAGGCAAGCTCAGTGAATTCACCTTACCACCTGCCAGGTGCTCCGTCTCTGATTTCCCAGTCTTGGGAGGGGAGGGCATAGGGCTTCCTGGGGCTCAGAGTGTGGCCTTTGCCTGTCTGAGGCACCTCCATGTCTCCATGTGCCCTTCATGGCACAATCAGCTTCCTCTGTGCTTTATTGTCTGGGAAGGTTCAAGACCTCTGCTCATGTGATCACTAAGTGGGTCCAGGTAAACCACGAGGCAACAGGCCATAAAAAAATGCTGTGTGTGCCTGCTCAGGTATCTGTGGAGGGCAGGACCAGCATCTAGGCAGAACATGTCACCAGGCCATTTGCGCCAGGCGGAGCACCCAACAGCGCTTAAGAAATGCAGACACAGGCCCTTCTCCAAACCTTCATCGGATCTCCAGGGGCTGGCTGCACAGGTGATTTTGTTGTGCAGACACGGTTGAGGACTGAGAACCACTGCATGAAAGTTATTTGTCTCTTCTGGCTTGTTTAAAAAATCAGATTCTGTCTGGGCAGGTTTGGAAACCCACTGGTTTGATAGGGACGAGACTTAGATGTTACCCCTGTCTTTCTTGACTTGTAGATGCTGGTTACCTCCTACCCCAGTGGCACTCAGCCCCCGCTGCTTTGGTTTTCTTGGAATCAGTCTTCCCCTCTGTTCCCCTCACCCCACTCATTCATACCTCCTCCTCCAGTGCCCCAGCCACACTCTGTTGCCTGGCCAAGATTATGTGTCACGTGGATTCGTGGCAATAACCAACCTGTAATTCCATCGTGGTTTCCCATCATTGCTGTTGCCTGGCCTGGCCTTGGGCGACTCCTCCCACTGGTGGCAGGAATACACAGGGACTACAAGATCACTGTGACTGTCAGCCAGAGCCAGCCCTTGCTGGGCCAGCAAAGCTGCTGCCACTGAAAGAGTCTCTCATTCACCCAGCAGCCCGAAACCAAACACAGAGGGTGGGCGTTGCCTCCACCATTCTTCCTACAGCCGGGAGGATGGCTGGCGTCCAGGCACCGTCACCATGTGCTGGGTGGCCTTGAGCAGGGCGTTTAACACCTGAGCGCAGGCTGTTTATCTGAAAAATGGGAGGTGGTTTTAAAGCTTAAAGGAGATAATGGTCGTGTAGGCGTTCAGTAAATGTTAGCTGTCTCTGAAAATCATTTCATTTGGTGAGCGCTCTTTGAATTCCCTGTTTGTCCAGAACATAGAGAGGAAGGCAGCAAAGAAGCCAAAAGCACGGCCCTCACCTCAAGGGCCATAGTGTAGAATCTTGCCAACGTCACTGACTGGGGTGAAAAGAGAAAGCATCTTAAACTAAAATATTTCAAAACTGGCATTTCTTGTCACTAATTGAGATTCCCCCCCCCCATGCTTCCTTCCTTGTACTCTTGGGGAATAGGTGGCCCCCGCTGCAAACCTCTTTTCCTTTAGTGCCGTCCAGAAAGGAAACTGTTGTTCCCGGTTAGTGAATCACTCTTCCTGAAGCTCACTTTTTAAATGAGTTGCTGGGAGAACTTGGACGTGGAGAAACGATTTGAGGTTGCACAAAGCAAGCCCTCTGTGCCTGCTTCTCGCATGAGCACAGACCATTGCTTCCCACAAACGTTCCCCTCTTCATTCACACCCCGTCCTTTGACTGTCAGGGAACGCGCTCCCTGCGTTCAGGGGCAGGTCAGGGCTGTCTTGCTCCAAAGACCCTTCCTGCATAGACTCTATTCTGCACAGGGCATTCTCATCCAAACCTTTTCTTCTCAGCTTAGGTTCAAATGCCGCACAGCGTGCTTTGGACACAGTACCTACTCACAGTGCTCGTTTGTCAAACATTCTGTGTACGTTCTGATACCTTTTAGTGTAAGTCTTCTAGAGGCTTCTGGAGATAGCCTTCTCATCCTTCTTTGCAGTTCCAAAACTTAAAAAAAGAAAAAAGTTGGCGCCTCCGAGGGTACCACTGACTGAGTGACTAAGATGTCAGTGCAGGGGCTTCCCTGGTAACGCTGTGGTTGAGAGTCCGCCTGCCGATGCGGGGGACGCGGGTTCGTGCCCCGGTCCGGGAAGATCCCACGTGCCGCGGAGCGGCTGGGCCCGTGAGCCATGGCCGCTGAGCCTGCGCGTCCGGAGCCTGTGCTCCGCAACGGGAGAGGCCCGCGTACCGCAAAAAAAAAAAAAAAAGATGTCAGTGCAGGAACACCAGCTGCCGGGTGTGCAGGTCTTGGTCTTGGTACCCGTGTTTGTCTCCGCCCTCCCACACCTCCCCCTCGTCCTCCCTCAGCCCTGCCTCTGCCAGTGGAGAATGGAACTGAGGTCTCTATTTAAAAGGGAGCTTTGGCAGCTGTCTGACTGCCGGCAGAGCTCGCTGGCTGTGGTGTGTGTTTGGTTTTTTAATGTGTGTGAGACTTCTGGCCCATCAAAAACGAGAGCGCTGGGGGGAAGAGGCTCAGGATGAGGGAGTGAAATAAGGCTTTGATTCCAGCCTCACACTGAGACCGGAGATGGCAGGACAAAACAGCTCTTTTGATAACGACTTGCACCTGGCCAGGCCCTGGTCCCTGAGTGCCCAGGAGGTTGGCCGAGCACCTTGTCTGAGGAGCTTTCCACCGGGACTCCCCGTTCCCTGGTTGGCCTCACCACCCACTCTGGCTTTGCACAGAGGCAGGCTGTGAGCTGAGCTACCAGACCGCACGCAGGTCAACTGTTTGTTGAGCTAGATCCTAGTGTCTGCTGAGCCATGTTCTGGTACCCTGTGTTGCCTGTTGACTTAACTGTCACCAGGCTGGCATATGCCCATTCCTCTCCTGTGGGTGTTTATTTGTATGTGAATGTGCATATCTGGGGATGGGAGGCCAGTGTGTTTGCCCAGAACTGTGAGCCTAGAGTTGGGGGACCTCTTTTCCCTTTACTGTCGGACGGCTGTAGGGCCAGGAGATGTGCGGTACAGCCTAGTTAGGGCTCGTGTCCTAACTTGTGGAGAAGCCGGGCAGGGGGTTAGGGAGAGGGGAGGCAGTCAGCCAGGTCATCAGGGCGGGGCAGTGACCTGTGGTTTAGGGAGGGCTCACTGGGTGGCAGTCTTTGGCCTAACCCAGCACTTCCGATTTCTCCCTTGCAGTTGGAGGCCCCTCCCCACTAAGTGCCTCTTTGCACAGCACTGGCCCCCGCCCCCACGCTCACCGGCACCACTGCAGCGGGACGGGCCATGGCGGGTCGGGGAGGTGCAGCACGACCCAACGGACCAGCTGCTGGGAACAAGATCTGTCAGTTTAAGCTGGTCCTGCTGGGGGAGTCCGCAGTGGGCAAATCCAGCCTCGTCCTCCGCTTTGTCAAGGGTCAATTCCACGAGTACCAGGAGAGCACAATTGGAGGTGAGTGGGCCCGAGGGAGAGGGGGTGGCCTCAGGGAAGTGGAAGAAATGCCTTGGTGTCGTGGAGGAGAAGGGAAGCTGACTGCCCAGAGGCTAAGCATGCCTGGGGCAGCAGCACCTTGCCTCATCTGGGCCCTGGAATCAAACCCAGCAGCTGGTCTCCATGTCAGAGTCCCAACAAGCATCTAGTAGGAATTAGCTGAGATTCGAAAACTGCCTTCCTCTCCTGGTTCCGTCTCTTCATTTCTTTGTGTGGCCCCGGGTACACCCTTCCACTGGCCTGGGGAGGGAGAGGCTGCGTCTGCCTCTCTGAGGGTTCTTCTTACCGCTACCAGGCAGTGCATCTACCCCGGCCTCCCCCACGTTCCAGAATGGGGAAATGGCCTCGTAAGTGGGCTGGTGTTTCTGAAGCTGAGCTTTACCCCTTCTTGAGCTCAGAGCCCGTCATTGATTTCCCAGTGGTCAGCATTTAGCACGTGAGGGTCTGGACCCAGCCTCCTGCCTCAGTGGCCAGTACACACCCCGAGGGGCTGGGGCCGACCTTGGGCTTGAGTCATCCTTTTTCTACCCTCTTGGTCGGCAGGAGGTTTCCAGGCAGCTGGAAACAAAGTAGGCCGTGTCAGCAGTCTTCTGCTGCCTCCTCAGCACTCGAGTCAGGAGCTGGAGAGGGGAAGTGAGGCGGTGCCCCAGGCCCCTCAGGGAGGAGGGGGGAGGGCCGACCAGGAGAGCGGGCTTCCTGCACAGAGCCGTCGGGATCCTCTGCTGAGACTCCCACCTGCCAGCCCCAGCTGCGAGACTCCTTTGAAGCACGTGCACAAGTGCCATGTGTTCCCCTGCCTCCTCAGGCCGGAGATGGGGTCACTGTGTTCCCTGAAGGTCGAGCCAATCAGGAATAAAGTCGAGGGCAAAGCCGAGGGTGGCGGCTAGCCAGCGTGCCTGGAGGTGGCAGGGGTAGCGGGAAGCCGGCCACCCAGCCCCCACCTGGCAGTAGCACGGCGTGTACTTCAGTCTCCCCCAGCGTGGCTGAGTGTGTGTGAGAGTGTGTCCTCAGGACACCGAAGGCCAGCCGTGCCCCTGGGCTGGAGCAGACGGAGGGGCTAGGACTGTTCTCTGAGGGGAGGGAGGGGAAGAGGAGCGTGGGCCCACCCTTTTGTGCTTGGGACCAGGCTTCTCCTAGACTTTCCCTGTCCTGCCCCTCGCCGCTGTCCTTCAGAGAGGGCTCCTGAAATGGCTGAAGTACAAGCAGGCTTCCCTTCTCCTCCCAGTCTTGCCTGGCTGGGTCTGTAAAGCCTGTGCAACCCCCAGCCCCCTCGACTCACAGAAGCGCCCGCTCCACCTGCCTTGCTCGGCTTCTCTGGCTGCCGGGTTGGGGGTTTTCGGGCTTCTAAGTGCAGGTACGTGAGGGTGTCTCCTCGGCCCCTCTGCGCCTGGTAACACTGCCCTCCCTCTTCCAGCCGCCTTCCTCACACAGACCGTCTGCTTGGACGACACAACAGTCAAGTTTGAGATCTGGGACACAGCTGGACAGGAGCGGTATCACAGCCTGGCCCCCATGTACTATCGGGGGGCCCAGGCTGCCATCGTGGTCTACGACATCACCAACACAGTAAAGATTTTCCCTTGCTTCTCGACCCTTTGTTCCTGAATGGGGGGGTGGGCACATTTCCTCTGGTGTTTGGGGGTGTCTCGCCAGAATCTTCAGGGTGATGACATCTTAGACACCTCGGCTCTGCCAGCGCCAGCTTCTCCAGTGAACAGCCCTGGGCAGAATGCCTGCTCCGTCCTGTTGACGCTCTGGCCCTGTCTCCCCAGGATACGTTTGCACGGGCCAAGAACTGGGTGAAGGAGTTGCAGAGGCAGGCCAGCCCCAACATCGTCATCGCGCTCGCGGGCAACAAGGCTGACCTGGCCAGCAAGAGAGCCGTGGAGTTCCAGGTGGGGGACGGACCAGGCCCCGGGGGAGGACGAGCCAGCTCCACTCGGCTTCCCCAGGCTGCTCGGGCTTTGTGAAGGGCTGCGTTGGGCGGCAGCAGGGGAGCTTCTGTTTGCTGTCCCCTCACGGCTCGAGCATGGGCCTAAAGGGGATGCCGTCCACCACTCCGCCTTCTCTGTCAGTGGTGGTGGTGGGGTGTGTGTGCATATGGATAGCAGAAGCTTCGGCTAATTTTTTCTATGAACTGGCTTTTTAACCAAACGGTGAAAAAGACAGACTTTTTCAGGTAATATGTGCACATAGGAGATTTTAAACAGTACAAGAAGGTATACAGGATGAAATTTGGGTCTCTGACCCTAGAAACTCAATCTCCCTTCCCCCAAGTTCCTCGCAGTTTCTTGTCTTTCTGGAAACATGCACAAGCGTATGAATCCCTTTCTTTACATACTATATACTTAACTTTTTTACCACTCCCCACCCGATGGACTTCTAGGCCTTGTGTAATTGCAAAAGACTGGAAACAGTGCCGTAGTCGACATGCACATACTTTTGTCCAAATGTGCAAGTGTATTTGTAGGATAGCTTTCTAGAAATATTTCCTAGCCTAGTGATTTTGAAGAGCAAGAAGGCAGAATGGGCCTATGGAGACCCGAGTCAAACTCCTGCCGACGTGTGTGAGCTGAGAGGTGCTGTATGTGAAGTGGGGGAGCTCAGAGCAGGGGAGCCTTAGGCCTGAACACCCCTGTGTTGTCTCTGTTGTGTGGAAGACACTGTGATCAGGGAAGATTTTTACCCTGGGCCTCAGCCCCTGCCAGCTGTCAGTGTCTCCCTCCCACCCACTCTCTCACCTCCGTCCAAATCAGGAAGCACAAGCCTACGCAGAGGACAACAGCTTGCTGTTTATGGAGACGTCAGCAAAGACTGCGATGAACGTGAATGAAATTTTCATGGCAATAGGTAAGTTGCCTCGGCTCCCCTCCCCCAACCAGGGCGTGTTACTTGCCTGCTGTTCTGTAGTAGGTCTGTGGGGTCCCTTCACCAACAGATCTTTTACCATTTTTGATACTTTGATAAAATTGTTTTCTTTTTCATCTGACTCTCACTCCAGAGGTTTCTAAAGCCTGGGCAAAGTCTCACCACTTCACTTCCTGACCCTGCAGCGTACCACCCACCTAAAGCTGTACATCACCAGCCCCCTACCCACTTAGGATTTTGGGGCTCATTTGGCTCTAGAGTCATCCTGTGTGGGTTTGAATCCTCGCTCTACCACTTACTAACTCTGTGGTCCTGGGCAAGTTATTTAACCCCTCTTTGCCTCAGTTTCCTGAAAGACCCAAAATATACTTGGCACATAGAACACACATCCATCAGGATGTTGGTTATCACTGATTGGGTGGTACCCAAGTGGACTTGGGAGAGTACTAGGGTTCCCCCACAAACACCCATCTTCCCCCTCGTCTCCCAAACAGCTAAGAAGCTTCCCAAGAACGAGCCCCAGAATACAGCTTGTGCTCCGGGCCGGAACCGAGGAGTGGACCTCCAGGAGAACAACCCTGCCAGCCGGAGCCAGTGCTGCAGCAACTGAGCCCCCCTTACCTGCCCACTGCCCCCACCTCCTCCGCCTCAACGACCCGACTGGAATCCACTCTAACCAATCGCACTTACCGACTCGGGCCACCACTGGGGGGCAGGGGGAGGGGCCCACCATGGTTTCTCCATATCATTTTGATCATAGGCCGGAGTGAGTTATTCCACCTGCACCTTTCTGTACAAATACTAATTCAATTTTAAGTCTTAAGTCACTTTTTTAATATATATGATCTGCTCTTCCCACTTCTGCCCTTTCTACTGCTCTCCCACTCTTCCTTTGCTGGTAGTAGCCACGTGCCCCTGTTCCCCCCACCCTGGTGTATGGGGAGGCGGGGGTTGGAGCAGTTACCCTTCTTTCCCTCTTGCTGATCAGCGGGCTCAGCAAGAGCATCCATATCCTTAACTGTGTTTGGAGTGCGCTTCGTTCTGGGTGACGGGGCAGGCCCTAGGGGCCAGGGAAGGGGGAGGCAGCTCTTCCCTCAGCTGGCTGTCATCAGGCTGCAGCGTCCCCTCCCCACCCCCTGACTCACAGCTGGGAGAGAACCCACAGCATTACCACAGCATTATTGTGACAGCCACGAACCCGTTGCCCACAGCCCCCTTCCCCCTCGTCCTCGGTCACCCTGACCTCTGGCTCTGAGCCCTGTTCTGACCAAATCACGATGATGAGTATTTGGGGGGGGGTAAGGGGGGGTAGTGGGAGGGGATGGAACCAACTTTTTCTGTATTTTGTATTGTATGTTTTCTTCAACATGTAACCAATCAGTATCTTGTCAATATAGTCAGCCGATCGATCGACCTCCCGCTTGTCTTCCTTGTCTTTCTCTGGCAGAGTTTATCAGACCGTAGCCTCTCTAGCTTACTTGAAGTTAATTTAAAATGAACCTCTAAATCTTGTTAAACAAAAGCTTTCTTCCCCCCCCCGCCCCCAAAGTGAGGGGATGTTGGTGGTCATGGTAACCAAGAGAAAGAGGCCAGCTGTTACTGCTCTAACTGGGTGGAGTGGGGTGAGAGTGAGCTGGGGCTGAACCTCACCAAGGTTGAAGTTGAGGGCCTTGCATTTGCCTCTCCCCCAGCCCCTCCAGGTTATATTGGGGTATGTGCAGTCTGTATTTGAAAATAGTTGGTCTCTGAACACCAGAAACAACCTCTTTCGGGTTTTCTGATTGGTCTGTACTAGGCTCGTGAGAGATGGGGTCCTCTCACGCTCTTCTCTGAAGAGGAAGGAACACCGACGACCTCTGGAACCTTGGACTCGTCATAAGGCCGAGACGGCAGCCCCCCACTGGGTCCAAGCCGTCTGCTCCCTAGTCTCTGGGGGGCCCTCTGCTGGTTCTGGAGTCAAGTGATGCTGGGGCCCTTTTGGCCCTCTGCTGCTCCCTGCTGGTCCAAGCAGTGAGCTGAGCTGAGTAAAGCAACACTGCCCACTCTCCCCCCAGCTTCCCGGGGGCCAGATTTATCGTGGACCACCACCTTGAGGTGCCTTTCCTGCCCCTCTGGGCCCTCCACCTGGCCTCCCTCTACCTTTGTTCTGCCTCCCCCTCTGACCCCAGCCCCAAGAAACGACCGCAGACTCTGAAGCTGTTGTGTTGCTCACTACGGTGGTGGGTTACTGGGTCAGGCTGGTTTGGAACCCTTCTTAGAGGCACGGCTCCTGAGTCTCGAGGCGGGTCCTGTTTGGGCTTCAGGGGAAGGCAGCACCCGGCACTGGCCACGGACGCACAGCTGGCCAGAGGGGGTCAGGCAGCAGGTCATGGCGGCGGGATCCAGGTCCGGTGGTAATGACATTTGCTGGTGCACCTTCTGCGCCACGCGGAAGCCGCTCCCATCCGGGTCACAGCCCTCCAGTTGCCGCTGGCCAGTCACCATCAGGCATCCGCCGTCCACTTGAACCACCAGCTCCTCAGGGGTGAAGCCGTGGGCATACATCTTCATCTGGAAGCCACCCCGTACAGCTGCCGCATCTTCCGCGAGCTGCCGCACCGGCAGGGTGGTCACCTGGTTCTGTTCAGTAAAGGCCACGCTGGGACATCGGGACGCCGACTGGCTCCCGTTGGGGAGACTGCTATCGACCCGCTGCATCCGAGTGAGCAACTACTGTTGAAGGGCGCGAGGCTCCGAATGCAGCGCTCGGCCCTGGGCGCGGGGGGCGGACGCCGGGAGCGGGGGCCCTCGTGGCCCCGCGTGGCTCCGCTCCTGCTCGCGCGACGCCGCCCCGCTCAGGGGGCTCCCTTGGCTTCCGGCAAGGTTGGCGTCCACAGAGTATGGGGTCAGCTGTGCACGTCCTACTTCCATGGGTCAGGTTGGCAGCCGCCCTGGCGCCCCCTGCTGCTGCTTTTATCTCGGATCCGGCCGCTTTCTCGGGCCTTTCCCCACCTTAGTCAGAGGACCCGGCCGCCGGGGCTGAGACCCAACCGGATAGGCCAAAAGAGGCTGGTGGCGCTCGAGCCCAACACTGGAGCTGTCACCAGTACGGAGCGGAGATGAGATTGAGCCGCCGGGCTCTTGCCCTTCTGAGAATCGGGCCTGGGGGGAAGGAGGACTGTCCCCTGAACAGAGCCATCAGTGTGACCGTGGGGTCATCCATTCTTGGAACGTCCTGCAGTTCTCTGACCACGCACAATCCTGCGACACATGGGGACTGGGAGGTGGAGGCGCCTTCCTGGTTTCCTTCATTCCATCCCGGGCCTACTGTGGCAGCTCAGAGCTGGGCTCTGGGACCACAATGATGAAGACTTGGGCCCTGCGTGGGAGGTGCCCACCGTGTGGGCGGGAGAGCCGTTCCGCCCTCCTCTGCCTCTACTCCATCTCCACCTTGGGAGCCTTTTACCTGACCACGGCCATTACTGTGGCGCTCAGTGCTTATAAAATAAACGCTTTTTGTTGAGGTATAATGTACGCAGAGAAAAGTGCGCAAAGAGAACACACCCGTGTAACCACATAACAGGTCAAGAAATAGAACTGCTGCTATTTAATCGCCACGCTGGGTGCAACTCTGTGTCCAGAGACGTGTGGGATAGGGCCAGGGTGGGGGCAGGAGGGAGATGCGCAAGAAGCCAACTCGACTCCAGACCCCAGGCCTGCATTTTCACCCTTGGGCTTGGGAGGTGATTCCCCAAACCGAAGCCTGTGTTCTGGGGTACTTCTCCTTGTCCCAAGAGCAGCAATCTTTACTATCTTGGAAGCCTTCAATAGAGATTACAAGTGAGGAGGAGTCAGTCTGGGGTGCTCGCTCGGGCCTCACTTGTCTAGACGTCCGACATCAAGAGACAGGACAGAAAAGCCTGGAAGCTGGAGGCAAAGGGAGCGACCGTGAAAGACTACAGTTCCCATCATGCTCCGGGGCATGGACGCCTGCGCACTGAACGCCGGTTGCCCATGCGGCCCTAGGGCTGGGAGCGCCGCGCCGCGCTGCGCCGCGCTCCGCTGCGGGGAGGCCATGACGGAACCTTCCCAGGCCTCGACCCCGGCCCCGGCCGCGCAGCCCCGTCCTCTTCAGTCCCCAGCCCCCGCCCCAACTCCGACTCCTACCCTCAGCCCGGCTTCGGCCCCGACTCCGGCTCCCACTCCGGCATCAGCCCCAGCCCCAGCTACAGCCCCAGCCGGGAGCACAGGGACTGGGGGGCCCGGGGTAGGAAGTGGGGGTACCGGGAGCGGGGGTGATCCGGCTCGACCTGGCCTGAGCCAGCAGCAGCGCGCCAGCCAGAGGAAGGCGCAAGTCCGGGGGCTGCCGCGCGCCAAGAAGCTTGAGAAGCTAGGGGTCTTCTCGGCTTGCAAGGTGGGGGCGGGGCCTGGGGTGAGAGGAGGCGGGGTTTGGGGCATCCTAGGACTTGGGTGGGAATGGGGGCAAAGTTCTGGCTGGGGAACGGCTTCTCACCCGGGGTTACAGGGTTATTGACTGATTCTTCTGCCTCCAGGCCAATGAAACCTGCAAGTGTAATGGCTGGAAAAACCCCAAGCCCCCCACTGCACCCCGCATGGACCTGCAGCAGCCAGCTGCCAACCTGAGCGAGCTGTGCCGCAGCTGTGAGCACCCCTTGGGTAAGGCAGGTAGTGCCCTTGGAGCTGGGGGTGGGGGGTGGAGATGCCGGGTCCTACTTGGACAGGATGACTTAATGCCACATAATTGCATCTCTGAAAGACCGAAGATGCCTCCTAAAGAGGAATTGGTCTGGGAGTGTGTATGCCCCAGGGGAGGAGAAAGGAAATCTGCCAGCCAGAGGAGACAAGAGGCCACCCAGATAGGAGCAGTCAGTCTCGTTGCCGGTCACGCTGATTGGAGGGACTGAGGGTGTGTCTTGGCTGGCGATGAAAAGGAGTAGGAAGCCCTGTTGATTTTTTCTGTTCCTTTTTCCCAACTGCCATTTATCCTTACAGCCGACCACGTGTCCCACCTGGAGAATGTGTCAGAGGATGAGATTAACCGACTCTTGGGGATGGTGGTGGACGTGGAGAATCTGTTCATGTCTGTTCACAAGGAGGAGGATACGGACACCAAGCAGGTCTATTTCTACCTCTTCAAGGTGAGCTTCTTCCAAGTGAGTGTGCGTGGGCGAAGGAGGGAGGCTGGGGGCTCTGCAGCTCTGTATTCCACTGACCTCTACTCCTCCCTCCTCTTCTTCCAGCTCCTGCGGAAATGCATCCTGCAGATGACTCGGCCCGTGGTAGAGGGGTCCCTGGGCAGCCCCCCATTTGAGAAGCCTAATATTGAGCAGGTGGGATGAGGCAGGTGGTAAGAGGATTGGGGGCATCTTGGAGGAGTGGGGAGGCTGTGTTATCCATTCCCCCCCCCACCCCGACGCCCCAGCTGAGAACAGGGGAGAGGTTCAGAGAAAGGAGGATGCTTTGGGCTAACCTCAGGTGGGCATGGAGGTGGGAGGGGGTATAATTTCTCCTCACAGACAGCTGCAGAGCAAAAGCCGCAGAGAGCCCCCTGCCCTCAGGAAGCACCTACTTTTGAATAAGAAGGCCCTGCTGGCTGCCCACACCTCCTCCCGTTTTGTCCCCTACCTACCTCCCCTTCTCAGGGTGTGCTGAACTTTGTGCAGTACAAGTTTAGTCATCTGGCTCCCCGGGAGCGGCAGACAATGTTCGAGCTCTCGAAGATGTTCCTGCTCTGCCTTAACTACTGGAAGCTTGAGACGCCTGCCCAATTTCGGCAGAGGTCTCAGGCCGAGGACGTGGCTACCTACAAGGTCAATTATACCAGGTAGGTCCAGCCAGGGACAGCATGGGGGAGGCTTATAGGCCCAGCCTGGGCTTTCATTTACCACCTGCCTGCTCCTCATCCGCTCTGCAGATGGCTCTGTTACTGCCACGTGCCCCAGAGCTGCGATAGCCTTCCCCGGTACGAGACCACTCACGTCTTTGGGCGGAGCCTTCTCCGCTCCATCTTCACCGTTACCCGGCGACAGCTGCTGGAGAAGTTCCGGGTGGAGAAGGACAAGCTGGTGCCCGAGAAGAGGACCCTCATCCTCACCCACTTCCCCAAGTAAGGCTTATTCTGGCCCGTCAGGATCTTGCACCACGTTCACATCCTCCCTGTGGTCCCCTGTTTTCCAGGAGGACTTCCTGGATTGGTCCTTCCTCTCACTCCGTGAATCTTCTGGGATGGATCTGGGCCTCTACCTGGGAGACTTGCCCAAGGCCCAGATATAATTTGCTAGCTCCTTGCCTTTTCCTGTACTAGTCTGGGGATGACAGGTACATGGCCCGAGTGCTAACACTGCCCACGCCCCTGGTAGTCATGACTAACTGTTTCCCATGGGGTGTGGACGCAGCTCAGAATCCTTCTCACCA